GCACGTTCACCAGAGGGCCTGATGAGAAGACATAAGGCACATCACACCCCAGTCACTCCTTTTATATGAGCCAGGTAAGGGAGAGAGTGACTTTTGCTTGAGAGTTTTTAAATTACTCAACAGTGTCCATTCCAAAGGAGCTGTATGACTGTGGCTTAACAAAAGACTTAAGAACTTTAGCAGCTTCGTCATTTATTTTTGTGCCCAATAAACTCACAAATCAACTTTTCTCAGATGCAACTTAGATCCTGTACTTCGTATGCCCTTAATTTGATCTGGTAAATTTACAGGTTACAGTTTTTTATTAGCCAAACAAATTTATCAGTTGACTCTATGATTGTGTTATGCAACTATGAGCTTTTTTGCTCTTTTTCAGAAAGTTTGGTGTATCTGAGATCAGCTGGCTCTCTGTTTGCTTAGGTTATTATAGACAGATAAGTTAGATAGAAATTAATAGGCAGTCAAAGAGGGCTTGGACTGAGGAAGTGAGTACACAAATACCAAGACATCAGACTTGCGGCTGGAGGCATGCGTGAGGGGAACCAGGCCTCAGAAGCCAGCCTGCTTCCTCCCTAGAGACAAACAGCAACCTGAGACTGTATGTGACCAGCACCACTTGGTCCCTTGGGCTGCCAGTGAGGGATCAGACACGCACATGGGTGGTCAGAGCACCCAGAGCCACACTTTCTGTCCTTGCCCAAAGAGCCCTCGCTCATTCAGTGCACCCATTCGGTGCTACCTGACTCACTTCCCTACTGGACGGATACTGGTTAAGGCCTATACTTGTAGTTCTCCAAGTTGATTATTGATTGAGCCAAGCTAAGCTCACATGGTGATTTTTCTGTAGAAACTATGAGAGACAAAAAGCATCACTGGCCACCCCCCAGGGGCCATCCTTCTTTTCCTTATTTCTAGGAAAACCCTGCTAATTTCTGGGCAGTGGGGTTATAGGTGATTTTCCTTAATACTTTGATACAGACTAATTTTATATGAGTTACAAATAAATAAAATAATTCCATATGTACTGCTTATGTAATTGTGTTCATAAATATTAGTATCAGTTCTTATAGCCTCAAAGTGTAACTTTTGCAACATAATAAGCAATCTTAGATTGTAATATCTAGAGACTCATTTACATTGGTGATTCCTGTGCAAGCAGAACCCCCCTCGGGTGTGAGCCTTGTCCTACCTAGCGCCCCGTAGTTGATTCCTAGCCTTAGCATTATGTACAATCATTATCTAAGCATCTACCATTTTTAAAGTATATTGGCTTTGTAAATTGCTGAGTTGTTTTCTAGTTTTGCTTCATTTAGCTTAGTCTTTTGTCAGAGAACATTTTATCTTCATAGTTATAAACATGTGCTGTGTGAAAGCCAAATTGCAAACTTAAAGGCCAAAAGGGAGTTGATGATGGATTAAAGAATGAAATTCAAGCCACACACTTCCTTGAACTTAATGGACTGTAAATCTCTGTATATATGATGCAATGCTCAAACTAAATTTTCACATATTAGAATGAAAGAGTATAAAGAGATGATTCGAATAGAACATGATGCTTTTAAATACATTTGACTCATAAAATCAATTGCGTTACTGACAAGGGGAATAGAAATTATTTTTTAAAAGTTTCTGAGTCCCAAAGTGATTTTTGTTCAGCTGCTAGTATCTTCCAAGCTCTTCAGCTTCAATGAAATCAAAATACATGGAAAATGTTGTCTAACTTTATTACAGAAATGGCTTTACTGAATTATTAATAAATATCAATCTTTTTTATTTTAGGAAATGGGAGTTGGATAATAGAAGAAATGTGCATGAAAAATTCAGGGAAATTTTATAAAACTGTGATAAAAATATTTACCACTACACTATACATGACTGAATTTTATGGCATATGAATTATATCAATTTTCTTAATTACTTGTTATAGTATTACCTAGTGTCCAATCAAAAGTAACCATGGACTACAATGTAACAAAAGAGTTGTAAACTTTAATTCCTCATAAATTAATAATGTGGAAATAAAGTGAGAGTAATCTAGAGAAATACATAATTTATTTATCTCTTAGATTTTTCCATCTCTCAAATGTTAGTGCTCCACTGACTATTGGCTAAATGGTAGATTCCAATAATTCTGTGTTTAAATTTTCTGAAATGTCTGTTTATTATGTTATTTGAACCAGCACGCTGGCAATATAGGAAGTCCCAGACCTTCCTGGCGCTATTGAGATCCTAAGTTGACAACAATACACAAAGTAACTGCCTTTTAAAGATAAATCTTAAAAAAAATTCAGAAACCCATTAACACGCTCAAAACTACATGAGTTACTAGACTATTCTTGTTAAAATGGCCATTCTTCAAAAACAAAAGCAGAAAATAAGAAATGCTAAGAAGATGCTCAGAAATGAACTCTTGTGCATTGTTCATGAGAATGAAAAATGGAGCAGCCATTGTAGAAAACAATATAGCATTAAAAAATAGAGTTACTATATGATCCAGCAATGCCAATTCTGGATTTATCAAAAAAGATCTCAAAAAAAATCTCAATGAAATAATTACACCCACTCAATATTCATTGCAGCATTACCTATAATAGCCAAGAAGTAAAAACACCTTGAATGTCCATCAACAGATGACTGGATAAAGAAATTGTAGTCTGTACATTTGTGTGTGGTCCCTAAAATAGTCAGAGTCACAAAAGCAGCAAGTAGAGTGGTCATGTCGAGGACCTGAAAGGAAGGAGCAATAGGGGCAGCTGCTGGGTGGGCAGGGAGTGTGAGTTATAGAAGATGAAAGAGTTCTAGGTATTTGTTGTACATCAAAGCGCATATAATTAATGTTACTTGTACTATACACTTAAAAGTTTGTAATGAAGGTGAGTTTCGTCTTAACTTTTTCAAAAATAAATAAAAACAT